ATTTCTCTCCACCCAGTTACCTCTCTGTTCTTGTTAAAAGGGACCTAACTTTATGCCCCATCCATTATGGTATTTGCATAGTATCCACTTAATACCTTTACCAACAAGTTTTAATTCACAAGATTAGCTAGAATCTGTTTTCTGCTTAAGAAATTAGATTTAAAATACCAAAGAACCAAGACATTATCTAAAACTTAAAATATTTTTAAGAGACAGTCATGTCTCCAAATATAAACAATAACCAGAACATTTAGCTGTCAGTTCTTTCATATATAACTGTTTCATTTGATCCTTATTGTGGCCCTACAAGATAGAGACTATCTACATTTTACAAATAAAAATAGAGGCCATTTAATCTGCTCAAGATTACATGATTAATTAGTGGTAGAGCCAAGATATAAACCGTGGTGTCTGACGGTGGACCTTATGTTCTTTTCACTCGATCACACTGTCCTACTTTTGACATCACACTTGGTTCTCAACCAATCTGTCCAACACCTCTAATAATACTTCCCCTTAGCTGTTCCACCATTGTCTCAAATTTAAGACGTCATTATTGAATCCATTCTGTTTATCCACTAGGCAACCTAAATTTCCCTATTTTCATCCTGATACCACCCATCTCTCAAATTTACTTGGTCACTGAGCCCTGTCGAAGTTCCCTCCTCTCCCTGTGATCTGATTAAAAATCCTCATTGTTTCTCACCAGGTATTCTAGAAAACCGTATCTCCAGACTTTACCTTCTATTTATTAGATTTATTTGAACATGGAGCATAGCCTTAAAAGATACTTCCACTTATTTAAGATTGTTCAAGGGAAATAATAAAATACAGGAGCCACATTAAATTTAAAATATTTCTTCATCAGTAAAGGTCTAGAATTCTCAATGATACCTTTTTTTCATTTCCTCATTTTAATTTTCTTACTAGATTTACAAAATTTCATCAGTTCTGGAAAACATATCTGTAACACATTTTGCAAATTGTATTGCCCTTTGTAACTTGAGAGTTTTCCACATCATACGACAAGTGACAACACCATGATCCATGTACGTCCTGAAACTGGAGCAAGATAAAGTTTGCAATTGAAAAAACTACTTTGTAAAGAGGAGAAATCAGTTGTCTAAACCTCAATGATGGCAAAAAGCATCTCCAAACATATTAAAATTCTGCTAAAAGTATAATAAAAATTGGAGAAGTTTCCCTGCTGAGCAAAGATAAGGAATGCAATTGAAAGTTATTTCGAGGGCGGCTCCCTTGGTTAAGCATCTGCCCTAGGCTCAGGTCATGATTGAGGGGTCCTGGGATCGAGCCCAGCAGGAAGTCTGCTTCTTCCTCTCCCTCTGTGCTCTCTCTCTCACTCTCACTCTTTCTCTCTTACTTTCTCTCAAGAAAATAAATAAAATCTTTTAAAAAAAAGTTATTTCTGATTCTGATTTTTATGGATCAATATTTTTAGGGAAGACATCTCCCATCTGGTATGATAGCTTCCAGAAGCCTGTTATGAATTAAGCTATGGTCAAAAGTGGGCAACTAAAAGTGAGTAGAGAGCAATACAGACATTAACACGTTTCTGAATGATGTTAGAAAATCAGCGCACAGAGTTTTGGGGAGGGTCACCAACAAATGAGAAATGCATACAAGAAACCTAAAAAGTACGTCTGGTGCATTTCTTCTATCTTAATTGCCTTATAAATCCTTGAATCGCTTTCTAGGTCTTCCCTAAATTGACTGGTTTAAAGCATGTGACAGGAAAGATGTCGAGTGACTCTTCAGAGGGAAGTCCAGAGGTTTACTACTCATGGCAGTGGTTCTCAAATTGTAGCAAACCTAAGAATCAGTTGGCGGTCTCATTAAAACACAGATGTCTGGGTCCTACTCTTTGCATTTCTCTGATTCATTTGATCTGAAGTGGAGCCTAAGAATTAAGAGGATACTAATGCTTGTGGTTGGGGGACCACACTTTAAGAATCATGGGCCCAGGGTGCCTGGGTGGCTCAGTCGGTTAAGTATCTGCCTTCGGCTCTGGTCATGATCCCAGGGTCCTGGGATGGAGTTCTACATCAGGCTCCCTGCTGAGCAGGGAGTCTGCCTCTCCATCTCCCTCTGTCCTTTCCCCCCACTTGTGCTCTCTCTCTCTCTCAAATAAATAAATAAAATCTTTTTAAAAAAAAAAGAATCACTGGCCCATGAGCTGGGTTGTTGAAATTTTCTCAAATTAATATGGCTTAATGAAGATGTTCCTGTTTTTTGTTCTAGATACATGTCTATCACATAAGTCTAAATTTGTATGGGGCTCATTAGTTACTGCTGGCTAACATACTTTAATTGTATTATTAGTGGACTCTATTTATACAATATAATTTGTCTGCTATTGACTGCCACAGAATGATCAGACTTTAGATCTGGAAGAATCCTTAAAAATAATCTGATCTAACACCCTAATTATGAAGATGAAGAAACCAAAGTCCAGTGTAATATTTAATAGATCTAAATAATTGTGATTTCCAAATTGTGGTTTACTGTCAACATCCTTTGAAGAATTGTCTATGAACTAAATAGCTACAGTAACATCTTGTGTTCATACAATAATCATGACTATTCTTTTGTTTGTGATAGAATTAATTTTCTTCTTAAGATAATTAGGAATTTCTCACTGATGCTTATTTTAATTCAATCAGAACTTATTTTGAACAGCAACAAGTAGAAATCAAGGCAGGAGCCTCTTCTTGACCAAAGGGTTTCCAGCCAAAAAAATGGTATAAACTTAGTTATGTAATATAGATATGGACCCAAGGAAACCTTGAGAACTATTTGTAACGGAATCTATCACCTTAATAAAACAAATGTAAAACTTGAAATTTATTTCAATAGAATAAAAATCTACCATTTGCCAGGTAGGACTAAACATGTTCATACTTAGGATCTCATTAAAATCTCATAACTAACCTGTGAGGTTAAAAAACTAAAGCTTTTAGAATTTAAATTACATAGGCTAGAAATATATTTTACCATGATAAAAACACAAAAGTTTTCCTAGTATATTTGCCAGCACTTACTTAATTTAGCTGCTTGACAAGTTGGCACATCTGTATCTTACTAAGGCCTGATGACTCCATTTTCAGGAAGCAAGAATACAAATATCCTTTAGACAGCCAGGAAGTCTAAAAATTTGTTTTCTAAGTATTCATGAATCTAGTATGGACATTTACCCTCTCCCTCTAGCCTTTTGGAGAAAAATAGTGTCACTGCCAAATTAGATGACTTCCTTTTCTGGAAACACATTTAGGGTATTATAACAGTCTCAGATAGCTTGAATAACAGATTCTATGTTAAACAAAAACATGTTTCAGCAGAGGAGACAATGGTCTTTTATGGAGGTATTCTGTAAACTGTTCACTAGTTAAATTTGGCTCTAGGTTCCATAGTTTCTTTACAAAGGGAAGTACAATTCACCATACAACCTTTCTTATGTTAACTAAATTCCTCACAGTCATTGATGAGGGATAGAAGCAGAAAAATGTTCACCTTTAGCCCAGTAGGCTGACCTATACCCTGCATAGCTTTGATAAGGATCAAATAGGTACTGGCTGCTACATTCTTAAAGGATCTCATATCTGCCAGTACATTTCACCAATAGCTAATACTGAGCTGAATGATAAGCACCAGAGAAATCTTGTGAAAGTTGTTTTATAAGTAGAAATTTGAAGAAGACATTTATGATCTAATATTCCCTGCACATCCCATCTCTCTTGAGCACTAAGCATATAACCACCAGTTTCATATAGCAAAAGTACAGCTTTTTCTGCCCACGGGCCCTGTCTCCGTGCTACTTAAATAAACTTACCAAGTTGCTCTGTAAAATATCTGAAGAATTCTTTCTTGACCATTCTCTCCAGACAAGGCAATTAAGATAGAAGAAATCATAATGATGAAAATTCATAATTGAGACTGACTCAGAACCTTACCCAAATCCCAAGATCAAGTCAACATTAAGAGGCTCAACTAATTGGCAATGACAGAAAACAGCCCAGGTTATAAATGATAATAAACAGAAAAACTGTTCTTTATTGACATTTACCATTCAGTAGACATACCACCCCATATTTGAAAGAAACTTGAAGGCTTATAGAGCCATAATGAAGACTGCCTCTGCTTACTAACAGAAGATTCAGAAGAAAGACAAGAAGAAACATCACTGAAGGCATATTTCAAGAAGTCTCAATAAAGCCAATACTTATAATCTCCAAAAATACTTAAAATCTCCTTATCTGTGCTTTAAATATGTATTAGATATTCATAAAAATAATAATGATTTATTTTCTTGTTTTCGTGATTAAATTTGATGTCTTTATCAATAAAATGGAGAATGGAACCCCAGTTTATAACATTGGGCTATAATAAATAAGGATCAATTTGTGGCAAATGATCAGAAATAAATCTGAGGTTACTGATTAATAAAATATTTGTACTTGGAAATACACATACTTTCCTTGGATTCAAGTTCTTCTTGATTTCATTATCTAAAGCACTATGATCTCTTTAACATAACCCTATAGATGATTGATTGGGATTCCCTGTCTTGAATAAATACACATGACAACCACAAAAAGTATGATTAAAGTAGATTTCAGATTGCTTAAGGGAAGCTATTGCCAAAAAACTCTGATAGGACCTAAAAGCCACTACCAAAGAGTCGTGTGAGGGTTATTCTCCTGCCCTGAACCAGACAGGAGAAGAGAGGAGAAGTGAACTAGTTTACCAAATGGTTGTGTGATTATCAGCAACTTAAGAATATACACCAAAACACACAAAGAACACAAAATTCTCAAAATGAAAACACAACAACTGCTCAAAATGATATACAGTCAATGTCAACTCAGTAGCAGGAGAACCCACATGCTCTCCAGGCCAAAGCCAGAAATTAGTTTACACTTCACAGAGAACAAGACATATCTTGCCCAATAAACACAGAAAAAAGAAAACACTCTAACACTTACTCTTGTCTTTTTGTCAGTTTCATTTTCAAAACACTGATTGTCTTTATTTTGCTCAATACATGAAGCACTTTCCTTTGGTCCACAGCAGTCTGTAAGCTAAAAAAAAAAAAAAAAAGTTTAAAGAAGCAATACTTCCCTATTTGTTCTCTGCAATGTGAATTAAATGTTTTTTCAAACTTTTAACATGCACATTAAAATGTCTATGACCTGAATATTATTCAGTATTGCTTATGTCAGTTTTAGAATATTAATGCATTGTCTAACCCATTTTTATATTGCTCCCAAAGAGAAAACATAAATGGGACAGTTATTCAAAGGCAAGTTTTTATAAATTTCAGATCTTTTCACCAGGGACTGTTGAACTTGGATGATTCAAGCATAAAGTCATCAATCTGGTAAAAGCTGAACATGGTTAATAGGAAGATGAACATAGAAGGGTTAATTTCATCTTATGTAAATTCCCATACTTGCAGGAATCTCTACTCTATGGTACTGTGGTTGGAGCCCTTGAATAAGCAGAAGCACTGACTACTTTCGTTATGGACTATCTTTCAAGGATCTTTGTATAACTACAGCTTTGGATGATAAAAATGTTTACTTCCAGAGCAGAAGATAAGTTTGCTTACTGACCATTGTAAAAAATTTCCATTCCCTAGCCTGAGGGTTATTCTCCATTGCATGGGAATATATCACTTGGCCAACTTTGCATCGCCTTATAGGAACTGGGGCTTGAGAAACTGCTGTCTGGCTACTGCTACAGTGGTGAAGAGTAAAGTCCCTTGTCTTTGTCCTAGGAGTCTTCTGATATTCTGGCATTCATGAAACTGTGTCAGGGTTCTTAGATTACAAGTAGGGTAAGATCTTAGCCCCTTCACTGTTCTGGACAGTTGTGGTAACAAGGACAGAATGCTGACAGTCATAGTTTTCTGGAAGAGAAAGAATCAGAGACTTGCAGACTGATGAAAGGGATTTCTGGAATGTCTTTGGGAATTGGTAGCCAACATGTTAACGAAATTTATGTTCAACTGCTTAATAATGATCCTCCAGTTTAACGCCTGTCAATGGAGGAATTTACGAAGTGGTCCCAGGCCAAGTACTGGGAAATAAACCCAAAGACAGCTCCCAAATGGTGCCATGGTTTTTGCTGACTATCCCCTGATGGCAGGACATCCTCACCAATCTACCAATCACCCTCAAGTCCCAAACTTCATTCTGGATGAGCAGAAGTTCCCACTCTCTTTCAAACTATAGTTATAGAGCAATGTACCTGTGCTGATTGTGAAAGAGAGAAATATGCAATTATTATGAGCAGAAACCAAGATTTCTCTGATTCTAGTCTATTGTAGATACTCCTCTTCTCTGTTCCCATAGTTTACATCTGTCATTGTGATTAACATATTGCATTATAAATCACATGTTTATATATCTGTCTATCCCATTAGAGTTCTTTGGAGGACAAATTTATCAATTTCCAGGGATTAATAAATATTTGTTTAATAAATGAAAAAATAAAGATTAAATTAGATAAATTGATGAATGCTTAACTGAAGGAATAAAGAGGGAACAGGGCTCCAATCTGGCTAAGAGGAAAGTCAAGCTCAACTATCTGAGGATACCCAGGTAGCTTCTACATCAGAAATGTAGAGTCATTTACTTTTTGCTCAGTCTGGATTGGTGGATATGCTGCCATGTTCAGTATGAGGATGAATGCAAGCAGCAATTTTGGCAATGCAGGCTCAGTCAGCAGCTTGATCCCCATTGGTCTCATCAGGACCTTACTATGAGCATCTACATGAGTCATGAAGATACATACAGTTTGTGCCCTGGGGAAGCATATGTTTAATATGCCAGTCTTTAGATTGGGAGTATTGATGGCTTTGCTACTGCTATAGGACTTCAATTGGACGAAAAACAGTATTAATCCATATTCACTAAGCTGCAAGTCACCTACACACCCCTCAAAATCACAAGTAAATGTGACTTCTTATTGCACAGAGCTACTCTCACTCTCCATGATTCATGGTCTCTCCCTTCCCTGTAATACTAACCTCATATGCTTTAAGGAAAAAAGATGTTTAAGAATGAAGTTAAAGTTTCCCTGCTCCTAAGAGGGAATGAAGAACATACACACCCAACCAAATATACTGGAGAACTTCTGGGAGGGCAAGCACTCAAACTCTTACAGATCTGTTGCATACAGTCACCCAAATCACAATCTGCTAGATTCCAGGAGTTGGCAGAAGGAGGGGAAGAATTCAGCTTATTGGGTTTGGGCAGACTTTACCATGGAGCAGGAAAGCTAAATGACCTTGTGTATGGGGTTCTCTGGGCCAACTCAATGTAGCACTTGTGTGGTTTTCACTGCTGAATGTATAATTGGTACTAACATTACACTGTAAATTCTCAGAAAGTCCAGAAGGGATTCTCTTGATCAGGAAGAGCTATATGTAGAGAAATAGTAACAGAACACATAAATCATTCCTTCCAATTCTTTTCTCTATTTTCTCTTTGTAGTCCCACAAAAAAAGTGGAGAATCTTAGGAAGAAAAAAGGAAATCATCATCTTAAGGACTTAAAGGCAGCAGGGATAGTAACCCAAAATGCAATATCTTAGAACAACAGCCAAGCATGGCCAGCAAAAAAAGGCTAATAGGATCTGGACGCTCACAGACAATTATTGATTCTGCTGTTGATCCCATTGCCTCAACTATTCCAAACATGTAACTGTAATTAAATCCACTGCACCGACTGATGGCACTTGGTATGTTCCCTTTCCAACATCTTTTTTCTATCCCACTGGCACTCAAGGTCCAAGACCTTGAATTTTTATTCATATGGCAAGGCTTCTAATATGTTTACAGTACTTCCTCAATACCTAAATTCTTCTTCTATTTGTCATTAAGATTTAGTATGAGTGGCTTTACTTTCTGATGTTCAAATTGTTAACTAAGATGATGTCTTATTACTTGGCAAGTCAGAAGCCTCAGCTAGCAGGAGTGGATAAAAAACTGACAAAACTGAGGAGCTATCTGAGCAATTCCCTCCAGCAGTCAAGGAGATACTTCTGTCTTTTTAGCCTTAACAATCAAAAAAAGAAGCCCAGCACCTTATTAGACTCTGAATATTGGAGCCAGTATGATCTTACTTGGACATTTTACTTGGTCTGTATTATCAGCTAGGGCACGAATCAGCATCCTTAAAGTAAGGCCCAAACCGACTGCCTGTATTGGAAGCACTCAGCAAGCTGTGGCAGGCTCTTTGTCTTTGCAGCCTCACAACCTTAATGACACCACTGAGCTACAAGTCTTTGTGAGTGAGAGAGGTTGATTTGAACCTCTGGTAAAGAGAAGCACCCTCCACTCAAAGTCCCCTGAGGCAAAGCTGCTGGCTCAATGGAGTCCTGGATTCACAGGATTCACTAAATGCCTGGGCCTGCTTCGCTAATGGTTTCACTAAATTGAAGCCAGTGGTGTTCACTGGGATGCTGATGCTATTTGTGTTTAGTCCCAGGTATGCGGAACCAAAAATGGAAGTTCATCCACTTAGGCGGCAGAACTCAAGGTCATCCTTGTAGCTCTGGCCAGTGTGCTTCCTGTTATATTTTTACTGACTCTTGGGGTATTGTCAATGGCCTAAAAGTTTTGTCTGTCCTGTTAGAACACTACAGACTGGCAAATTAAACACACTCCTCCCTGGGGTCATGAACTATACAAATCAGGGCTGCCAATTGTAGATGCCCACTGTAAGGTCCTGATGAAACCATCTGGAATCAATCTGACTGAGCCTGCATTGCCACTATTGCTTCCTGGATCCATTGTCAGACCAAACATGGCAGCACATCCACCATTCCAGGTTGACCACAAAGTAAAGGACTTTATGTTTCTGATGCAGAAGACACCTGGGTATCCTCAGGTAGCTGAACTTGTCATTCTAAGTCAGATAAGATGCCTCCATCCAGGCATCCATATAGTCATTTAATCTTTTTTTTCCATCTACTAAACAATATACGTTAATCAATATATATTATTCTCTAAAAATGTATCTATCCCCTGCAAATTCAATATTTATTTGTTAATATTTATTAATTTATTAATTCCTGGAATATCAAAAACAATAAGATATATTATCTATCTTCCATGTATCTCTCCATCCTCCCATCTATCTAATGGGATAGACAATTCTAAAGACAATAAGTTATCTAGACAAGTAAGAGTATTCAGTCTAACAGTAAATAGTGTGGGCTTTGAAAGGCATTATGTTGAGAAAGAAAGAGCATGGGTTTTAGAATATGGAAGAAATGAGCTGAAATCCTTTTATCTCCACTTACTAGCTAGGTGTCATCTAAAATAGGAGATTATCTCATCCACTGCAGAATCTCCTTCCTCCTTATCAACCATCCCACAGCTGGGTTAGATGCTATGAATCTACAACTTTCCTACCTTATACCAGTTGGTGTTCCATATATACTTCCTGAATCTCAATGCCTTGACTGGTTTTCTATGCTTTCAAAGCTCCACCATTATTTCTTCTACTGGTAACTTCCCATCAATTTAGCTCTCATGGAAATAGTAATTTTATTCTATACTTCTATATTTCCTTCATTCTTTAAAAAAATAAAATAAAGACCCTTTATCACTTTTTTCCAAAACTAGTAATCTATCTCTGACCTTCTCCCCAGAATCAATATTCTTGAAAGATTTAACACGCTTAACATGCAGTTGAATAATTTAATGAAAAGTTACAATAAGTTATGTCCTGCTTTGAAGATACCGATACATACTTTATATGCATTATCTCATTTAGATTAAAAAGGAAAACCTTTGAAGTAAACACTATCATCCTTATTTCCTGGGTGAAAAACAGAGAACTCAGTTCTCTCTGAATGCAGAGTCTATGTATCTAACCACTATACTAAACTCCTGAACCACTTCCTTACCATTCACTTACCCTTGAACCTTTCCCCATCAGCATCACCTGGAGACTTCTTAGACAAATTCTTGGGTCTCACCCCAACCTGCTGAATCAGAAACAGTGGGGATAGGATCCTGCAATCGATATTTCTGTGTGAGTGTGACATATCCTAGTTGGAAAACCAC